CATATACTTATAATAATTCTCTGACGTATCATGTCTTTTTGCTTTGTAATTAACTCTATTTTGTTTTTAATAGTGTACGGGAAAAGATGGTTATAAAATGAACATTGTAGATGCACTTGTTTATTGTGATATGTACCCTAACAACAAACATAAAAAGTTAATATAACATGTTAAATTCAAACGTAAAATTAATATAACATATGTTAATATAACATGTTAAATTCAAAAGGTTGTTCCTTTCCTAAAAAAAATTTCAAACTTTCAAAAATTTCAAAAAAATTCACACGAAACCTCACATAACTTCTGAAAATACGGAAACTGTGAAAAGAAAAGAAAAAAAATTTATACGTAAAAAATTTCAGGATGTTTTGCAATCCAATTTTAGTTAAACTTAGCTTATCATTTAAACGTATTATGTTCTTATTGGCTAATAAATATTTCTTGATAGAAATATATGATATAAATAATGTAGTTATAGTTATCTTATAAAATTAACTCTTAAATAACAACTGATTTGATCATTAGCTGTTTGGGTACTAACAAATAGTATTAATGTAAATACCTAAATTATACATCTTAACTATATTAAAAACGACGAATGCATATAATAACAATAACAGTAACAATAGTAAGATATTATTAACAATAATAGAAACAAAAACAATAATAAAAAAAATAATAATAACATTAAATTGATTCATTTTACCAAATATTTGAATAAACTGTTTTTATGAGTCGAGAATTAAATTGAGAGAAAAATTTGTAAAAGTTTATAGATAATTTTTTTGTATTGGTGGCTCGAGACAAATTTGCCGGTTAAAATTATTAGGATTAACATTCTTACACTTTAAACCGTTATTTTAGTTATGACCTCTTTAGAGCGTGTTGGTGAAATTATTCAAATTTTTGGTATGCATATTGTAAAAGTGATCTAAAATCAATATTATAAATATTCAAAAGTGTTTCAAGCTAGCATTAAGGTGGACTTTATTCGGCATCCAACTTGAAATGCTTGAAAGATGAGAATCAGTTTCACAATTAAGATATTTGATTGAATTAGCTTTGTTTGATTTGATTGTCCACTCATTCTAAAACTCATTTGTTTAAAGATTTTTTTAAATATGGATATCAAGTACACAAAAGTGTGTATTTACAACATTGTTGTAAGTTATCTGTTTTGACCGTAAAAACGAAAACCACGATAATTTACCCAATGTTTGCTTGAGGTCCGAGGCTATATACCCTTTTTTTTTTTTTTTTTGTCTATAAAAAGTATTTTTTTTTTAAAAAAAAATTAGAACTAGAAGGTAAAAAAGTGCTACACTCACAACACTAATACCCATTTTAGATTTGGTCTACAGAAGGATTGGTTTACAAGCGGTCTGCAGGTTAGTTGATCCTCTAGATTTGTATGGCAAAAATTGGCGGCTCAAATTTGGTATTTTATATTAAATTATTTTACCTTTAATACCATTTATAATAATTATCATTTATTATATCTTTAGAGAATTTCTTTAGAGAGCCAATGATGTCCATTTGATGGACATCATTGTTTTTCATAAATTAATTAATTATCAAAAAATTATTGTTTTGTTCTTTATTGTTGTTCAGACCACGTTTTTATGTTTTTGTGTTTTTGCGTTCTTGGTCATGATTGGCCCATTAAAACTTTAAACAATCAGCTTTTATTTATTTTTTTCAATGTTTCTATATTATTTTTTTTTTTTATAAAACAATATGCGCGCAAAGTTGTTTTAAGAATGAAGTATGTTGTACAAACAAAAACATAACATCTTTGCATGGCTGACGCCACCTGGGAAGCTAGGAAGGCAGGGGCCACCATATTTTTTTCTAAAGGACATTTTCTTATCTTTTTTTTTTTTTAGAAATTTCAAGATATAGACAACTTTGTAGAAATAAAACATAACTTCTTTGTCTGAAATTTGGTAACCAAGTACAGTAACTTACTCTCCTACGTTAATATTAGTTAACAACGCATCATTTTACCGTCAATATAAAACTTATAAAGAAGTGGAAACGTAAGCAACTTCATCGTTCAAATAATTTTATTTTAAGTTGATAAAACAGACTGTAAGTAATTATCTATTGCATTAGTTCTTTAAAAATTTCTACTTTTTGTTATTTATTTATATGACTCCTGAAGTTGGTTTGAGAATGCCACATAGAGTAAGAAGTAAGTAAAAAATAAGCCGTGTTCCGTTCACAGTTTTCTACTGGAAGCCATATTTTAAAGGAGGATAATTATTGCTCCTACTTTAAGGTTACGTGGTAATAATTTAGCAAATTGAGAAACTCGGTAAAAATATTAGCACCTTCTTCATTACCCATTAACTCAATTATTTATTATTATTATTTTATGAAAAAATAGTTTTAAACTAAATTTTCGTGGTATAAAATTACACATTAAAACAATTTGAAATTATTTGATTAAAACTTTAATCGTTAGAATACTTTAATTATGTCATAATCATTTAATTAGCTTCTATATTAGTTAACACTTTTTAATTTTTATAAATTAAAAATAATAATTGCGCTATAATTCTTTTTCAATTCGTTAAGGTGGGCGTTTACCAAAAAATTTAAAAGAGCTAAACTTCTGCAAAAATTAATGCTTCAAATTAAAGACTTTTTAAGGAATTTCAAATATGTATGAAGCATATAAAAGAACACAATGGTGAATAATTAGCATAAAAATTAAAAAAGATTATAGGCGATTTTTGGGTAATGTAGGAAACTAAAACAATAACAAGAATTTTAAAAAAGCTATCTCAATAAAAATCGTAATCTTTAAAATCTTTATAAACAAGAATGACAACCACTTAAAAAGCATTAATTTAAACGAGAACTCTTATTTTATGAAAAATGATGCAATGCACAGTGTGCCGAGAGTATGAAAAAATTCATTTCTGGGTATTGTGGTTAATTCTCCTCCGGTTAATTGCCATATAGAGGCCACATACCGAAGCCCGTAAAAACGAGTACAGTTCAGAGCATCATAGCACGCTTCAACGGACCAAGAGTAAGTGATTTTAAGAAGAACGAAGGATAGTAGAGCGAAAGTCAGAAGAAATTGAATTAGAAAGATAGGATAGAGAAAGCAAACAAATATTGCACTAGATGATAGATGTGCAATTATACATTTATCGGTTACAACTAACTAATGAATTTAATGAAAAAAAAAACTTTTGCAAATTTGTTACAACAACTAGAATGAGAAAATACTTATTTTTTGGATTCTTTTTGATTAATTTAAATTTAGTATAAGGTGGTAAATTAATTTATTAATAAAATGAACATACTTAAAAGCTAAGAGTATACTTTTCTTAGGGATTTTGTTTCAAGGTTCAAATCTCTGGAACATCTTCTCTCAGTGGTGGTAACACTAACAATGGACCGATGGCAGAATGTTTTTTTAGTCCAAAAGTGAGAGAGTTAATCTGTCTGAGTGTAATTTATAAGACAGAAGATCAAGATCACTTCATATCTCGGTCTTTGGTGTTAGATAAAGTTTTTCAAAGTATTTTTATATGTTAATTTTTATTTTATTCATAATTTATGTCGTTCTGTTTCATCAAGAATATCTGAGTTATAGAAATTTTGTAATTTTACCATAGTTTTTTCTCTTGTTTTCTCATTGGTTTTGGCAAATTCATACAACGATTGAATGATTCTATACTATATAGATTCTATAGACTATAGAAGTAGACCTAAAGTATACCCTTTTCCTATTTCTCTAGAAGCATCAACAATTTGTGTATTAACTTCTGTACTTCTTTTATTTATTGCTGAAGTTTTAAATGTGTCTATAATTTTATCATAGTTTTCACAAAAAATTTCTAGTTGTAAGCACAAACTCATTCTTTCCCAATGTTATCTTGCAAAATAATTTTATCTTGCAAAATAATTTTATTTCCACATTTAGGACATCAAACATACTTACTAAATATTCTTTTTAATATAGAAAAGTATATGATAAAGTTATAAATGTTCTTTTAATCTTCATTGTTATCTTCAACATTTTGAGTAGTTTTTGCTATTGAAAATAACTTTTTTGCTCTTGAACAACTTGCAACTGGTGATGAAGGTAAACTATTTTTTTGTTTATCATTGGAGGTGTGCTGATTTCCTTTAAACTCGTATTTACGGTACAATCATTAGGCAAACAAGATGCTTTAAAGACTCAAGTTTTCTTCAAAAAGGTGACTTTAAAGTTAAAAAACCAACTAACAAACCCTTTGCTATTGGGGTAACAAGGAAAACCTGAAAAACTATGGTCCACTAAAACATAACCAAATTGAAGTATAAGAAACTGTTTTCATATTAATAATCTCCATTAAAATTGCATAAAATTAAATGATAAAAATCTCCTCCATTTAATGGACGACTCAATCTTTTAGTAGTAGTAGTAGTAGTAGTAGTAGTAGTAGTAGTAGTAGTAGTAGTAGTAGTAGTAGTAGTAGTAGTAGTAGTAGTAGTAGTAGTAGTAGTAGTAGTAGTAGTAGTAGTAGTAGTAGTAGTAGTAGTAGTAGTAGTAGTAGTAGTAGTAGTAGTAGTAGTAGTAGTAGTAGTAGTAGTAGTAGTAGTAGTAGTAGTAGTAGTAGTAGTAGTAGTAGTAGTAGTAGTAGTAGTAGTAGTAGTAGTAGTAGTAGTAGTAGTAGTAGTAGTAGTAGTAGTAGTAGTAGTAGTAGTAGTAGTAGTAGTAGTAGTAGTAGTAGTAGTAGTAGTAGTAGTAGTAGTAGTAGTAGTAGTAGTAGTAGTAGTAGTAGTAGTAGTAGTAGTAGTAGTAGTAGTAGTAGTAGTAGTAGTAATAGTAGTAGTTTCATTATTTTGCCGCTAAGAATATATATAATGTAAAATATAAAAAAAGGAAATGGCTGGAACAAGAAGAAGACATAAGCCTTTTCACCGAGCCTCGTTACAAACGGACTTAACAAGTCCGTAAAATATTTATATATATATATATATATATATATATATATATATATATATATATATATATATATATATATATATATATATATATATATATATATATATATATATGTATGTATGTATGTATTATAAAAAGTTAAGAAACAAAAAGGTACACAAAAATTAAAAGTAAAGTTAGTTAAGAAAGAAACAAAATGTATAAGTATATATACGTGTATACACATACACAAACTTACATACTAACACATACACACATACATATACATACATACATATTGCCTCGTATTGCCGTTTTCATAATAAAATGAATAAAATTCCATTCACAGCAACATAAAATATATAAAAGTTTAAAAAACAAAATAAATATATAATAATTTACAAATAGATACTGCATATTTAAAGTAAATAAAAAAATATATATTTTCAATAAATATAATATTTGAAATAAATATTTTTCAAAAAAGTGTGATAAAGACACTGATGTTCTTAATAATACAATAGTCAATATTTCTACTTATTTTTAGTTTTTTTAGTAGTTAACATGCTAAAGTTGATAAGTTAATGTATCGTTTAATTTGATAACTTCTAAAAAAGACTGACAATATTTAGAAAATTAAAATCCGTATTTACTAAATTATATTTTAAATTTTGACTTGGCGGAAATATGTTTGTTTTGTATTATGAACAATCTGTTTAAAACTTTTCTATAAAAAAGGTCCCCGATGCTGAATAGAATAAGAACATAACTTTAGATTATATTTTGGAGTTACAAAATTGAATTTGGAGAATCTGGTGGGATATTTGTAGCTTATTTCACTAAAATATTGATTAAATATAGTTAAAGACATTTCTTGCTTTAATTTATACATGAATTGTAAGGCTAAATATATACTAATTTTGAACACGTTTAATGATCCAAGCGTACTTAGAAGTGGCTCGAAAGGCACATTTTTTGTTGCTCCAAATACAATTCTGCAAGCATGTTTTTGTTTTGAATAAATTTTTTTCAACTTTGTGTAATTGGCGCTTGCCCATACAATATTTCAGTAAGTTAAATAAGTTTGATGTAAAAGATAAATCATTTATATAAAGTGAAAATAATAGTGGTCCTAAAATTGATCCTTGAAGAACTATTTTTGGACGTTTTACCTGTTTCATATTGTATAAACTGTTTTCTGCTTGATAAATGTTCTGTAAACCAAAGTAAGTTATTGTTTTTTATTCCATAATGTTCAAGTTTTTTAAGAAGAATGACATGGTTGACGGTGTCAAAAGCGCAGTGGTTAGAGCGCTTGCTTTATAAGCAGGAGATCCAGGTTCAATCAAGCTTTGGACATATTTCGCGTCACGGTAAGGAAGGAGGCATAAACTTTAAATGCTCAAAAACCTTGCTAATAATAGAAAAAAGATAAACTAGACAACTGAAAAATAAGGGGGGGGGGGTCAGAATGTGCACTGGAGTTTTTGAAAATTGGAACAACAGATGCCATTTTCCAGCACGCAGGAAAACAAGACTCAGTCAAGCACTTATTAAATAGTTTAAAGAGAATTGAAAAAAGTTCTGAATAACAATTTTGAAAGTCACAGGATCACAAGCCTTAGAAAAGTTTCATTAAGATATAACCTTAGCAACGGAACAGGAGTGAAGTGAATGTCTATTAAGAATGAGGTAACCTGTTTAATTAGAATGGCAAATAGAGAATGGCAAGAAGATTCAAGAGTAGTATTAGAAAAAATGTTGTTAGCAAATATTTCTGCATTATCCTTGGGAGAGATAATAAGATCAGATCCATAAATAAGAGATGGAATGTTAGATCTACCCTTGTTAACGACGCTACTGAAGATTTTCCAAAAGTCTTTTGGAAAATCTTCAATAGCGTCTCACTTTTAAGATGAGATACAATATTTAGTGAGTTGAGAATAATGAAGCTTAGCATCAGACTGCACCTTTTTAATGTTAAATATGAAGCTTACAACTTCTATTTAACCAACATATTTTTAGCAATTCTAATCAAGATCTTCTATTAATTTTTGATACTACAATTGGTAGCATTTGTTAAAAAAATTAAAAAATTATTTAAAAGTATATATTTTTAAATAGTAATATAATTTATGTTTTAACTATAAAATTTATAATATAAAAAAATAATAATATAAGCATATAATTAAAAAAAACAAAAACAATTTCATTTTTAAAAAAATTTCAAAATTTTTGATTAGATAAAACGGAGGTAGCAAGTTATAATTTTAATTTATAAACAGGATTAAGGAGATAGAACAAAATGCAATGTCAGGTATAGTAAGTAATTTTTTTTTTACTGATTTATTTGTAAAAAATAAATTTTTCATCTCTAAAAAGCAAAAAAAGCTGACCTAACTCAATTTTTTTGATTTGTGGAGATAGAACAAAATAATTCTAACCTCGTGATATGGCAATTTAGTAATTTTATCAACATGACATGGTAACATGGTAATTTTATTAGTTTTATTTTAAAAATTTTTATTAAGTGGTTAAAAATAAAAATCTGTCAAATCTTTGTTTTCCGTTAACAACTAATTTTCAATACTTTATAACTTCTTATTGTAAAATTCTAAACTACTATAAAAAAAAAAAAAAAAAATGGGTACGCATTTGTTAATTTTTTCTTTGTTTAGTTTTTATAAATTTTTTTTGTCTGACTATTCGCAGTTAATGTCACGAGAGTTTATTCTGTTTGATTTAGTATTAAGATGCATCTCATGCAAAAATGATGCGCGACATTTTTTTAAAATTATTTAGTAGCTAGGTAACTTATCTTAGGAATTGTAAGATATAGTAGATTGTGTATTACAACGTAGAGGCTATCTTGCACATTCAGAAAATCTCTTACTAGCAATGATTAGTGAAAAACACCAACCCATTCGTTGTTTGGGATTGGAGTGCATTTTTTTAAGCGCGACTGGAAAAATGTCACACACTGCGTACTTTCAGCTTGCCAAAGCACGGATTCACATGATTACATAGAACTCATCAACTGGAAAGAAAAGAAAGTAACTGACCTACCATTGACAGTGTCCGAAGAAACTATTCAAGTATTTTTGGAAAGTGTGTTTAAAAAACTTCCATGGCGTATTCGATCAGTGGAGTGGTGTGTTAAGCTCGTGGCTAAGACCTTGATGGCTGTATGCGGAGGAAAAATACGAAATGGTTTTATTCGATCGCGTTTACATGCATGTCTCGTGATGCTAGTGTTTAACACAAAGTCAGAATAACGAGCTTCCGAATCAGTTATAAAGTGTCATGACAGGTTTTCTAAAAGTAATAAAGTGTAATGACAGGATTTCTAAAAGTAATAAAGTGTAATGACAGGTTTTCTAAAAGTAATATAGTGTAATGACAGGTTTCTAAAACTGATTAATGGATATTAAAATAGTTAATGAATAGATATTTTTATTGCATTCTTTAACATGATGTAGATTTGCAAATCTGCAAATTGAAACTTTGACAAACTATAATTATATTGTTTTTGTTTTATATTTTTAAATAATCGTTCACTGCAATCATTAATCATATAAAGATAAACTAAAATCGAATAAAATAACATTCTACTTGTTCAAATAGCTGACAGAATTAGAAAAGCTTGCTATTGTGACATGTCATTAAACACAGTAACTGGTTGAAATATTTACATTTGTTAGTAAATATCCATATATATTTGTAGCAACCGTAGTGTAGTGGTCAGCATTTGGATTCAGAGCGCAAAGTCTTTGTAGTAATATTATTTTATCCAATATTATATTCCATGCAAACCCAGTTAAGGCACAAACACGTTTGTAAAATATTAATAAACATAACATTTCACCTTTAATTTTTTCACTGCATTCCAGTCATCATGATGACCCTACGCCTTACTCGACAAAAGATATATATATATATATATATATATATATATATATATATATATATATATATATATATATATATATATATATATATATATATATATATATATATATATATATATATATATATATATATATATATATATACCCAGTGGGCACCAAAACACGTTCAAAAAGACGTCCAAAACGTGTATAAGACTTTTGTTTTACGTCTGTGCCCACTGGGTATATATATATATATATATATATATATATATATATATATATATATATATATATATATATATATATATATATATATATATATATATATATATATATATATATATATATATATATATATATATATATCACATCATACTAGTAATATTATTATATTCAGTAATATATTCCATGCAAACCCAGTTAAGCTACAAAGACGTTTGTAAAATATCAATGGTGTGCTTATTTTATGATTTACATAGTTTAAGGTTTTAAGGGAGCTAATATATTTTGGGAATTCTTTTACAAAAAGATTTCGTCTTATCACCAAGTCCGTTCAACTTGGTCGGAACGTCGGGTTGGTTTATTTTACAACACCGGCATCTCTGTTAATGTACAAGCACGAAGTACAGCTTATTTCTGATTTTACGTTTATCAATTCACTAAAGATTGTTAAATTAAAAACAAAATAACAAACTTACAGACACAATGCAAATAAACATAGAATCTTACAAAGGCATCTTTCTTGACAACTTATTAGAATTAATTTTAAAAATATATTATCAGCGTCTAACTTTGTATCTTTCAAAAATCTGTCTCTTTTTTAAATAATTTAAATAATGAAAAATATTCTAAATAACAATTAAATATTTTAGGCCAATATTAGGTTTTCTTTTTCTTTTAATAGAACATTTATTTTCTAATTACATGACATTATTATTAAGAATTAACTAATATATAATTTTTGGTTTTTTTAACAATTTGTTTTTACACACTCATTTGATATTTCAAATTGTCGAAATTCTTTGATTTGACTGACTTTGAACATTAGATTGTTTTTTTAACGCCTTTAGTAGCAAACTTATGTCAATCTAAAATATTTATACAATCACTAAATTTTACATCTGTAGTGTTTGTTTCAAAATATATAAAAGTTCAAATAAATGCAAATAAATGCAAATAAAAGCATGTGGCTGAATAAAAATCTTTCGCATGAAAAATAAGACGGTTTTTTTGCGTTTTTATTTTTTTGCATTTATATATATATATATATATATATATATATATATATATATATATATATATATATATATATATATATATATATATATATATATATATATATAACTATATAAATAATATATAAAAATATATATATATATAAAAATATATATATATAAATATATATACATATATATATATATATATATATATATATATATATATATATATATATATATATATACATACATATATATATACATACATATATATATATATATATATATATATATATATATATATATATATATATATATATATATATATATATATATATATATATATATATATATATATGTAATTTAGATGCATTTAAATATAAATAATTCTGATGCTTTTCTAATTGCCCGTGTGATGATCCCAATATTTTGGTTTAAATAAATTTAATGCGTTTATAAGCAGTAGTAAGATTGTTGTTAAAATATTACATTATTATTGCAGTATTATTGCAATATTATTGCAATAATATTGCAATGTTATTGCAACTAATATTAGGTAATCGATTTTATGATTGTAACTGAAGTTACAAGCATGCTTTCATTGCAGTGTAACGACTTTATACTGCAGTGTAAGTGCAGCCAGGCAGGTTTGCTCGTTCCATGTTAACCATCACTGGCATATCTTTCTGGCCACACAAGATACCTGTGGCAAAGATAACAGTTATTTATAAGTAGAAGACTCATAAAATTAATGGTGAATATATGCGCAATTAAACGAAATTTGATCTACTAAAAAAATTAACGTTTTGTTAACAAGTGGATCAAATAAAGAATATTTTTTTAAAAATTAATTAAATTAATTTTAAAATAAACGTTTTGCTAACAAGTGGATCAAATAAAACATATTTTTTTAAAAATTAATTAAATTAATTTTAAAATAAACGTTTTGTTAACAACTGGATCAAATAAAGAATATTTTTTTTAAAAATTTATTAAATTAACTTTAAAATAAACGTTTTGTTAACAAGTGGATCAAATAAAGAATATTTTTTTAACCTTATTGTATTTATTGATAATCAATTCATTTACTGAATTTCAGTAAATGAATTGATAATCATTAAATACAACAAGTTTAAAAAAATATTCTTTATTTGATCCACATGTTAACAAAACGTTTATTTTTTTCAGTGGATCAAATAAAGAATATTCAAATGGATTAGAACTAAAAAACTGAAACATGGAAGCATTTGATTCTTCCTCAGATACTACAATTTGATTTTCTTTCTCAATTACTATAGATACAACTTCTTCTGTCTCTTGGGTAAAACTACCATTGTTAACATTATCATCTGTATTGCTACAGTCGGACTGAGAACTTCTTTTAGTAATGTCCTTTTAAGAATAAGTTGACTCAACTGTAGAATGCAAAATTATTTTCTCGTACTTTCTATTAAAAAAGTTTCGTGTTCATTTAAAAGTACATTGCACAATATATACACATTTTACACTCCAGCAAAGTCTTCAAAAATCTATCAAATACGATTTCAGTCTGAAATCGCATATAGACTACATTTTTGAAAATGTTGTCTATATACGTAGTTTACACTATTGACACTATTGAAAGAACTTTTTGAATATGCTTAGGGTGGATAAATGTAAATTTTGTAATAAATAAATATGCTTCACATCATGCTTGTGTTTTTTTATACCAACAGCCTTTTTTTTAATTTAATATTTTGATAACTTTTGTAAAACCATCATGATTGTGTTTTTTTTAATTTTTTTACAGGTTTATACTTTACTAAATAATGGCTTATCCTGATAGAAATAGAACAAAGAAATTGGATTTTGTAGACACTTAAAAGCTTTCTTCTACATTTGTTCTTTTATTGTACAAAGATTGTTAAATATTTTTAGGCACTTTTTAAGCATTATTCACCCTCTGAATGCCTTGAATTTCAAGTGGTAAGTGCATTGAAAAAAATGATACCAATTACCATAAATAATATAATTAAAGTCCACCCTTAAATATAAGCCCTCCTCCCTATAATTGACAAATAATATAAAAAAATATATATTTTTTTACATAGTTGAAAATATAGAAGCCCATCCTAAAATAGAAGCCCACTATTTTAGATGCCCATTTTCTAAGAATATTGAAAAATGGAAGCCAAGGCTTTTATTATACTATTTATGGTATGTTGATAAATAAATTTAATGTTTTTTACTTATCAGAAAAATGTAGTGAATGTTTTCATTGGAAATATACAACACGAAGCTGTCATTATCTATAAGGGGTCTTTTACTCAATGCTGTAAATTTGAAACATTATTAGATAAATTTAGTATTTGTAATTTAACTGAAAAAAGCTCATCCAATGAGAGCACAACTAGCTAGTATTGACCGAATTGAATAAAGGGAATATTGATTGCTAAAGGTAAGGCTGGTACATTTATATACAATAGGTTGCATAATTTGACCGTGCAATGAAAAATGTTTACTAAATCCGAACTTAAATGTATTTTAATTTTTGGCCGTGTATCTTGGTTTTGATGCCGAATTTAAGTTATATGACATTCAAAAACGAGAGCCGTGTAGCTTCGCAAGAAAATTTATTTTAATGCCATTTGAAAAGGAGTTTACTTGCACGCTTATTTGTGAACCAAACGGACCTACTGCACGCATTCATATGGAAAATGAAGAAGTTCAGGAAGTTAAAGGTGTACTTGACAAAGTTTTTAAGACTTACAACTGGCGTGTTGTTCGGACGAGTATTAATCAATTTTTCCGAGACAATAAAAGTAGTACAAAAGTTTAATGTAGACTAAACAAATTAGTGACGTGGTATGGAGTCGTCAGCGTTTGTCTCTTGTCTCCCCATTCTAGCTATTTAGTGTTTTGTATGTTTTGTGAATGTTAAACAAATACACCATCTATTTTATTCTAAATTTTGTCGTCTATTTCTTTGGAGTTAGAATTTAATATGAATTGAAAGTGTACATAAATGTTACACTTTGTTTTATTATCTAGACGATAGTAAAATTGCAAATAATTATACGCGCAATGAATAATTAGGTGTTTTAGATCTTGTTATACATATACTATTTTCATCTTAAACTTAGGGTCAAGTATTTCTAAAAGAAAAAATATATTTTTTAAAATTTAAAAAGACGTCATCCTGTCATATTGTTATTAATGCCCGTTTAATTTTTATTGTCAATATTATGAGATTATTGCCCAATATAATTGCAATTTTATTATCAATAAAGCGAAATTATTGCCCAATGTATTGCCAATCCATTGCATGATATTGGCCAATATAATTACAATTTCATTATCAATATTGCGATATCATTGCCCAATATATTACCAATCCATTGCAAGACATTGGCAATATTGGCCAATTTTAATTGCAATATTATTGCAATATTTAAAAAAAATGTTGATCAGTGAAAACGCTTTAAATAGATCAATAAAAAAGCCTAATGTAAATCAAAAATTTTAAAAGAATTAAAGATTTTGCGTACACACTGGATAATTGCATGTTCAATTGAGTTATTTCTTTTTAAATCAAATTGATTTTTGAATAATAGATTAAGCTAATTGAAATAATTGAACATTCTATTTTACATAATTTTTTCTAAACCTTTTGAGAAGGTAGAAAGGGCAGAGATAGGGCGGTAGTTACTAATATTAGTTCCGTCACCTACTTTAAAAATTGAAGTAATTTTGGCAATTTTTAATCAATCAGGAAAAACTTCTTGATCAATAGATGCTTCAAAAACTTTAAATAGAATAACTTTTAACTGTTAATAAAACTCTCCAATTATATTTCCATTAATTTCATCAGCTCCTACTGCTTTATTTTTTGAAAGAGATTTGTAGGGTTTTCAAACTCTTAAAAAGATAAATCAGAATATAACTCATTAGAATAAATACAACTATCCGTTGGTACTAAGAAATTACTAAATAAGGCTTTGGTGTTAGGAATCTTTTCAGCAGTTTTGGACCTATTTTGATGAAAAATTTGTTAAATTCTTGAGCTATAATACTTGGGGGGATGGGGGTGTCCAAAGTTCTATATTTCTTGTTTAACCAGTTATTCTTAATTAATTTTTTGAGAAAAGTTCTAAAAACAATTCAGTTTTTGCTAATTTTTTATGGTTGACCTTCTACTTCTATTTTAAAAATTTAAAGATATAAAAAATAAAAGTCTTCGCAAAGTTTCTTTGCCTATAAAGTTACGTAACTTTTCTTTCAAATTTATGCTATTCAAATTTTGATTGGATAAATTTGATTTTCAATCATTGCGTTTTAGAAAAAAAAAAGTTTTATTTCAAGCTATTAAGAAGGCTATTCAAGATTTCATTTTTTTTTTTTTTTTGCACTTTTCTTTAATGAAGTCAAGAATAAATCTTCTTTTAAAGTGCCAGTCAGTAGAAGCTCAGTTAAATTCTAAAGGTTTAACAACTCTAAAGATAAACAGGCTAAAGGAATACCACTACCAAAAAGGCTTAACAAAAAACAAACTTGGTGATCAAATTTTGAAATTTTCTACTTTACTCTGAAACGCAGTGAATAGCTAGTTAAAAAAAACTCTAGAAGCAGTTAATAAGTATACCTCAAAAAGGTTGAATGATTGTATCATTCTTGCCAGAGTATTTTGGCAAAAGTTAGCCTTAGAACTTTAAAAAAGAGAAAAGTATTATGTGTTTGGTTGATCATGGAATATGATTAGTATTAACTTTCTAATTAAGTTGTTGCAGTTGGAAAGCTTTGAAAAAAACACATTTAACTTCAACAAATGTATGCTTAATTATTTAAACCATATAAAAAATGAAGGTTCGCGTAGTTTAAAAAAATTTTAGAAAATTATTGTCCTATTATTTGTCCAAAAAGTTGAAACTATTGGAATATAGTTGAAACCAGGGGTGTGGAGTCGTAAAAAAAAAGTAATGACTCC